TTCTTCTGCTGCGTCCACTTCCGCTGCCGTGGCCTCTTCATTGTCTCCTACTACCGCTTTTGCCTCATCTCCAACTATGGCTTCTGCTTCGTCTCCCACTATGATTTCTTCATCATCTCCTACGTTGGCCGTTGCAACGTCCCAAGCTGTAATGGCGACTGCAACCTCCAGTCAGTCCATTCTTTTGTTAATGAGTAATGCACAAGTTTGCACTGTCCCTGAGAGCAATGAGACCTTCGTACCCATTCCGGGCATGGAGAAGGTCAGCCTCAAGATTTATAATTCTCAGGTACTTCTTCCCTTCTCCCTTGAGGATGGTAATTTGCATGCTTTTCTAGGACCGTTTATTGGTCAAAATAAGAAGAAATTTGGCAATACTTTGTTACCTGAGGATTCGTCCACTCTACCCTTTATTCACTCGCCAAAGATAGATCTTTCTTTGCTTAGAGACACTACCAAGATTTTTAGGGCCTTTCCCCCCGTCAAAAATAGGCATTTGGAATGGTTACTTCGTGTAGAAAATGAAATGAGTCCTTCATGGGTCGAAACTGGTATATTTGAGTTTATTCAGCTTGCAAAATCTGACTTACATCTGTTCGACCCACAAATGCTCTTGTCTGCGATTTTCTTCTGGAATAGGGAGACGCGAGCCTTTGAGTTTCCCTGTGGGTTCGTTTGCCCTACCTTATTGGATATTGCTGCAATAACTGGTTTAACCCCTTTAGGAGATAGATTCCACCCTGATGTTTTCGAGGACGAAATTTCGATCAAAGAACTTTCCATCACATGGGATAAGAAGACGTATCTAGCTTTTATCAATGCCCATGTAGGACAACCCGGGACTCCTGTTTCGCCTTTTGAACATATTGCTTTCTTAATGTACTGGTTATCTGCTTGCGTTTTTTGTACTCCTTCGCTTCAGGTTCCAAAATACTATTTTACTCTCGCCTAAGCCTTACATTTGAAAAAGAAAGTTTGTTTAAGTAAACTTTTATTGGCTTCCTTGTACACCTGTCTCGATGAAGCCTCTGAAAGCCTTTTCCGAGAAACTGGACCTCGAAATCTCTCTGGACCATTATGGCTAATCCAACTATGGCATGGCTTCTGCTTCGTCTCCCACTATGATTTCTTCATCATCTCCTACGTTGGCCGTTGCAACGTCCCAAGCTGTAATGGCGACTGCAACCTCCAGTCAGTCCATTCTTTTGTTAATGAGTAATGCACAAGTTTGCACTGTCCCTGAGAGCAATGAGACCTTCGTACCCATTCCGGGCATGGAGAAGGTCAGCCTCAAGATTTATAATTCTCAGGTACTTCTTCCCTTCTCCCTTGAGGATGGTAATTTGCATGCTTTTCTAGGACCGTTTATTGGTCAAAATAAGAAGAAATTTGGCAATACTTTGTTACCTGAGGATTCGTCCACTCTACCCTTTATTCACTCGCCAAAGATAGATCTTTCTTTGCTTAGAGACACTACCAAGATTTTTAGGGCCTTTCCCCCCGTCAAAAATAGGCATTTGGAATGGTTACTTCGTGTAGAAAATGAAATGAGTCCTTCATGGGTCGAAACTGGTATATTTGAGTTTATTCAGCTTGCAAAATCTGACTTACATCTGTTCGACCCACAAATGCTCTTGTCTGCGATTTTCTTCTGGAATAGGGAGACGCGAGCCTTTGAGTTTCCCTGTGGGTTCGTTTGCCCTACCTTATTGGATATTGCTGCAATAACTGGTTTAACCCCTTTAGGAGATAGATTCCACCCTGATGTTTTCGAGGACGAAATTTCGATCAAAGAACTTTCCATCACATGGGATAAGAAGACGTATCTAGCTTTTATCAATGCCCATGTAGGACAACCCGGGACTCCTGTTTCGCCTTTTGAACATATTGCTTTCTTAATGTACTGGTTATCTGCTTGCGTTTTTTGTACTCCTTCGCTTCAGGTTCCAAAATACTATTTTACTCTCGCCTAAGCCTTACATTTGAAAAAGAAAGTTTGTTTAAGTAAACTTTTATTGGCTTCCTGAGCTTCTCCTCCATTGAAGGTTCTTCAAAGGAGTTCTCCAAGTTCTAAATGTGTCAACCTCAAGGAGCATCTTCGGTCCTAGCATGGAAGCTTGGAAGAACATCAATCTTGTCCAAGTGCTTCCATCAGGTTGTACCCGGAGTAAGCATCTAGAAAGCTGAGGAGGGCATACCCAGATGCCCCATCGACCAGCTTGTCGATGCTCGGTAAGGGGTACGAGTCCTTGGGCATGCTTTGTTCAGGTCGGTGTAGTCGACGCACATACGTCGCTTCCCCGAGCTCTTCTTCACCAGTACCACGTTTGCCAGCCATGTGGTGTATCTGACTTCGCGGAAGAAGTTTGCGTTCAGTAGCTTTTGTGTCTCGACGATGATGGCTTCTCGTCTCTCACCGCCGACCTTCCGTTTCCTCTGGGCCACTGGTTTTGCCTCCTTGTGGATTGCCAACCTATGATAGATGAAGTTAGCATCTATACCTGACATATCGGCGCTTGACCATGCAAAGAGGTCGGCGTTCTTGGAGATTTTAGCTTCGAGTTGCTGCCGTAATTCCAGGTTTAGCTGCCTGCTTATTTTTTTGCACTGTCTAGGGAATTTGTCGACCTGAAGATCATCAAGCTCGTCAATGGGACTCAGCCGTTCATCATGAGATTCTGACCTCGGATCTAGGTCAGTGATGTCAATCTGGATGATATGAGCCAGTATAGGAGGGTCACTTTTGCGGCGCTCCTCGTATGGTGAGACCTTCAAACTTTCGGCGTAGCATTGCCGAGCTGTCTTCTGTTTTGCTCTGACAGAAATGATCTTGCCACCACTTCTTGGGAATTTCATCGTGAGGTGTGGGGTAGATACCACTACTCCGAGTTGGTTCAACGTCGGCCTTTCGATGATTATATTGTAGGATGTGTTTGCTTCGACGAGGAGGTAGCGGACCATGATCCTCCTTGAGTCAGGAGAAGTTCCAAAGGTTGTAAGCAGATCCACATACCCTCGAGTGTGAACTCGCTCTCCTGCAAAACTGACTATGGGTTCTGTGTGAGGTTGAATGAGGGAGTGAGGGATGTCTAACCTGAGGAACGTCGGCCAGTATAGGACGTCAGCCGAGCTGCCTTTGTCGATCAGCGTCTTGTGGACCTCCCAATTGGCGACCTCCACAACAATGACCATTGGGTCATCTTGATTTGGACAGACGCCAGTGTAGTCGTCGGTGAAGGTGATTGGTGGTGAGCTTTGGTACGAGGCCGAGGTAGCGGAGTGGACATTGTTGATGCTGCTCAGGTGTCCTTTTCGCACCGAGCTGCTAGAGCCTCCTCTTGTGAAACCACTTGCAATTGTGTTGATAACTCCCTGCAAGGGAGCTGACCCTGTTTCTTGACTTACCTCGGCCTGCACCGCGCCACCAGCATTTTGTTGGGATCCGGAGGGTTGTTCTGTGCGAGTGCCTGAACCGCGACCTCGCCCTCGTCCTCGTCCTTTATAGCCTCCTCGGTGACCTTGCTGCCACTGGACGTATTGCCCAAGGTGTCCCGCTTGGACGAGTTCCTCTATACGATCTCTGAGTGTGCGTCATGCTTCGATTGTGTGACCGTGATTTCTATGGTACCGACAGTGCTTGGATTTGTCCGCGCTGCTGGGACTGTGTCCTGGGGGTGGCAGGGTGAGCATGTTATTGTTGCTGGCTTCCTCCAGGATATGTACGGGGCGTTTTCAGGGGGGTGTAGAAGTCATACCTTCCCCCTTTATTCGTCCGAGTAGCCTTCTTAAACTAACTTTCATTGGTGACCTTCATCTTGTCTTTGTGATCGTGATCCAGCTTGACCTATGATTTTTCGCGGACCTGGTCACGAAAGGCAGAATGTTCCTCCATCTGGATGTACCCTGCAGCTCAGGCACGAAGTTCGTCCATGTCAACAGGAGGTCGCTGACACAGGCTGTCGACGAACGGTCCTGGCTTGAGTGCCATGAGCATGACGTGTAGGGTGACCTCGGGATTCAAATTTCGAATCTTGACCGAGATGCTGGCAAAGCGCTCCGTGAACGTCCTTAGTGGTTCGTCGTCGCTCTGTCTGAGACTGGCCAGGGCGGCTGATGTAACGTGATGAGGTCGGCTCGTTGCATATTGTGTCGTGAACCATCTGACTAGGGTGTCGAAGCTGTTGATTGATCCCGGCGGCATTTGGGTATACCAGGCGAGTGTTGTCGCCTTGAGCGAGGTCGGAAAAACCCTACACAA